AATGTTCATGTCTTCACGACGTCCCTGGTAATACCAATCATATAGAGCAGACTTGCTAAATTGAACAAATTCTCTTGGTCTTTTAGATCTATCCGTGCTCTGCTATGTCTGGACTATCCAAAAGACGCTCTTTGTCAGTTTCATCTAACCGCTTTGTTAAAGTGATTTAAAAAATAGAGAAGGCAAAACTGCCTTGGGCAATACTAACTTGTATGAGTGTAGTAATGGAAGGCTAGGGGTGCTTTGTATTCCCCAATACCTCTACTGTAAAAATAAAAGACAGATATTTTTACACGCATTATTAATATATTTTACACAGGCAATTACAAGTTTCTCATACAGCTGTATATTATATTTATATTATAAAGTTTTTTATATATTATATATAAGTCAGTCGCGAGCTGATTTTTATTATTCCTTTACTAATGTGGTCAATAATGAATATTTTCAGAGGATAAATTATTAAGATAACACAGGATTACATAGGTCTATACGTCAAGGTATTGGAGTGGTCAATTTTGAGGTTTATTTCTTCTTGCAAATCATCTGAATGGGGCTCATGCAATGCAGTTCCATTATCCAATTACACTCGGGACTGCAGCAAGCAGGACTCGCACTATAGTCGATAGAGCAACCTGGAAAAAGGAAAATAGAACCTGATTAACCACGTCATTCGCAACTTAATGCTCCCCGTCAAACAGGGGTATACACTTGCAAGGAGGTAAGTCCCCCTCAGACCCCATAGCAAACCATGCTCCCCCCCTCCTCGCAGTATAAAGGTCCCTTCTGTCCAAAATATGAGCATGCAAAAAAGGGAATAATAACTTAGTTAAGAAGAGCGTTTCAATTTACTATGACCAAAACTTTGTCTAGTGCATGAATATATCAAAAAGTTGTGTCTCAACTTCCAGAATCACAAGCCTCAGAGGCTCGAAAATGGGAAAAAAAACATGACTGGGAAACAATGTTTCTTGGTTTGTCAACATTTGGGAAACATGGCTAGGAAACAATGTTCCCTGGTTTGTCCACCTCTGGGGAGACATGGCTATGAAACAATGTTTCCTGGTTGGTCCACCTTTGGAACGTCATGGGCTAGGAAACAATGTTCCTTGGTTGGTCAACCTTTAGGAGGACATGACTAGGAAACAATGTTTCCTGGTTGGCCCACCTTTGGGAAACATGGCTAGGAAACAATGTTTCCTGGTTGGCCCACCTTTGGGAAAACATGGTTGTGAAACAATGTTTCCTGGTTTGTCCAGCTTTAGCAAACATGGCTAGGAAACAATGTTTGCTGGTTGGCCCACCTTTGGGAAAGATGGCTAGGAAACAATGTTTCCTGGTTGGCCCACCTTTGGGAAGACATGGTTGTGAAACAATGTTTCCTGGTTTGTCCAGCTTTAGCAAACATGGCTAGGAAACAATGTTTGCTGGTTGGCCACCTTTGGAATGTCATGGGCTAGGAAACAATGTTCTTTCGTTGGTCCACCTCGGGGAAGACATGGCTAGGAAACAATGTTTCCTGGTTGGCCAGAAAAAAGAAAAAAAACAAAAAACAATAAAAAAAAAATTTTTAAAAAAATGTTTAAAAAAAAATGTTTAAAAAAAACAATGTTTAATAAAAAACAATGTTTTCTGGTTGGTTGTTGTTTCACCTTTGGAATGTCATGGGCTAGGAAACGATGTTCTTTGGTTGGTCCACCTCGGGGGAGATATGGCTAGGAAACAATGTTTCCTAGCTTGCCCACCTCTGCGAAGCATATGGCTAGGAAACATTGTTCTCTGGTTGTCCAACCTTTTGGGAAGACATGACTATATAGAAAACAATGTTCCTGCAACAATATTTCCTGATTTGCTTTGCGCTTGAACCTTATCATGAATTCATAATATATTCACAGTAAATCCGTTATGATGATAATTTATTCAATTATACCTCTTTTCTCTTCGCTCGTCTCATCCAGTTGAACAGGACCGTTTGCATCGTTACCGCAATCAATTGAAGTTAAAGCAAGGTCAACACCGGAAGCTGCGAGGCCATCTAATTCTTCCTTTGAACACCCTCCGCTGCCTGAAAATTAAAAAAATCATTGAAACTTAGAAAGAGTAAAATACCAACATTTTGGAAAATTTTTCTTTTCATTTTAGCAGTCGTTGTAGCAGTTATACCAAGTGTGAATTATATACATTTTTAGAACTACAACCTTGAATATAACCCTTGACACCGTTCCAGCCAATATTGCAAAGTTAATGAACACTGACAAAACAAATCTATTTTTGTCCCACTTTTCCCCCAGTCAATGAAATTCTAGTAGTAATAATAGACAATAGTTCCTTACCTCTTCGGAATAGATAATCAGCGAAATAATTTCGCGATCTTGGCGCAGCCGCTGTAAAAAGAGTGAAAAATAAACGTAAAAAATAAATTGAAAATATTATTTTCTTGACTGATTTCTCGAATCTCTTTCACTGAAGTGTGAAATATTTTTGCCCACAATAAACCGTCAAAGAATTTATGAAATAAATTCTTATGTATATGTATATGTAATGCATTTAAAAACAGAAAGGTTTAGTTGTGGAAAAAATTCAAAATGTCAACTCTGAAGAATGCAACTTTTGAAAAAGAGAGGGGTGCATAAAATCATAAATTTAATCATTTGCAGAAAATATAATTTGTTTCGTTTATTTTGTATCCTTTCAATTTAATTGAAAAGCAATCCTATAAAGATTGAAAAACATGCCACTGTCTTGTCGTTTTGGTGAGTCGGAGAGAACGTTTTTCAACCGTTAATTTTCAATGTAATTTTAATTATTCATGTCAATAAATCGAAATATCACCAAAACTTATATGCGTCTTGGTTTTATATAATCCATATTTTGGGGTTTCAAATTTACTGAGATGCTAATTTTCGGATACATTATTTTATAGTTTAAGGAGGTAGTCGGAGTTTAACTTTATATTAAGAATTTCATTGCCTTAGGCTTAGTAAGGAAAACGATTATTAAAACTTCTAATGAACGCATCCGTATACGGAAATTGTCGAAGACAAAAGCAAGGAAAAGGCTTTTGGGGAGAGCGCTAATTTTGCTTATCTAAACAATTAACGAATCCATTAAGTTTTTCATTGTCTTTCTACACGCCATATGGTGTGAATTTCATTGACATTGTTCTCACGAAAAAGATTTTGATAGTTTTGCGATAATTAATTATCAAAATTGATTATTGTTAATCGATGCATGTAGTTCGCTAATTTATCGCAAGAGTAAAAGCCTTCGTGTGGTTCGGTGTATATTTTGATTTATAATTATGTAGGAGGTTACATTGAAACCTATCGGCTTGAAAATATAGCTAAATCTCTCGCCTACGTTTAGAAAGGAGGATCCGCGGTGTCGCAGTCCTTCAACCTCTGAGATCGTGGGTTCGATTTCACTGAGAAGTTGGAGTCATGCTTGTGGGTGCATTGCATGAGTCAAAATACTCAGTCAAAATACTCAGTCTTGAGTCAAAATACTCAGCTGAATATTTTCCAGTGAATGTGTGCATATACAGTATGACATAAAGCTTTGTTAAATAAATACACGTGGACATAGTTTTAAGCCTGGCTCATACTAACAATTCTGTTGGCAATTAATTAAGGTGGAGTAATACGGGCAACAAAATCGCTGCAACTTGCAACAAAATCTGATTTCAACGCATGTTAATTGAGAATGTTCACATATACATTACAAGTCACGAGGCAACATGTGTCAACATTTCTACTTAAACATGCGTTGAAATCAGATTTTGTTGCAAGTTGCAGCAATTTTGTTGCTCGTATTACTCCAGCTTCATTCCCTCCTGGCAAATGTGATCGAATGAATGACATGCAAAAGACTTAGAATTGTTTACTTCTGAAAAGCGACTCTATACTTTTGTGTGCGAGTTCACTCATTTGCATCTGTCAGAAACACAAAATCGCCGACAACATTGCCAGTGTGAACCAAGCTTAAATTGATATCGGAGAGTAGTACACCTCGCCTCGAATGTATCATTATTGATCAAGTATAAAACAAGGTATATAAACGTAATTAAATCTGGTGAATTAAAGTTGCACGAAAATTTGCAACGTTTAACAGCTCTCCCTATATGGCCCATTACCCCTACCAAATGTGTCGTAACATCAGGACCCATCAGCCCTAGACGTAGGACCATTAGCCTCCTCCGCAGGCATCTCACCCGAGGAATTGGAAAATTTTTTTTTCAAAACTTATTCGCAGGCTAAAACCCATAGAGAGACTGCGGAGGAAGCTATAGGACCTTTATATTTGGCTAGCTTTGGCAGTATTTTGGATGTGACGCGTCATCCAAAGTCAGTCGAGTAAAGAGCATATATTGTCTATGGTCCACTCTATGACATTGACACAAACTGAGAAACGCAATTCCATTCTGCAGGCCAACTGCTCAAATAAAATTATCTTGCTGAAAATGCTTTCCTATTTCAAATACTGAAAACACAAATAAAGTTATCAATGCGCCCCGCGACGCTTTGCGGTACCGCATGAAATTCATGATTCGTTCGGAAAAAATTAAAACTTTACCAAAACACGCAGCACGCTGACTGAGCCGTATCAAACATCGCTATAAACCTCAATTAAGTATGCCTAACAAGGCAAACCGCTTAATGTTTTATTTATTTACTTATTCGAATCCTTGTAAAGCGAAATCCACATTCACAATGCTATGATAATCTATGATTTTGAGACGCCAACAATTATATTCGTCTGTTTGGTATGCTTTCGGTTTGAGCTCATTAGATATCTAATCGATTTCTTTCAATTTTTGACAATAGAACTATCCTTTGGCGAGAAACAATTAGCCGTCGGAAACCGGCTTATCAGCTAGTATTGTTTACAAAGATGTCGACGGCATACCGGCAAAAAATTATAATAGACAAGTCCTGTTAATAGCGTATTCAAAACAAAAAGGATCATCAGTTTAAAAAGATATCGAAAAAATAAGATATCTATATGTTTAACAATTAACTGCTCGAGACAAAGGCTTGAGATTTGCTTGTCTAGATTTGGAACAGATTATGATGTTAAACACAGTGCTACTTCAAGCGCGCGGTATTGCTTTTTTTTTAAGGAAAATATCATATTTTTCATCATTTGAGATTACGAAAGTGCTACACTATTCTCAGCGCATGCGCCTTTAACCGTCTGTGACTGTGCCGCGTGAAAATGTCACAGCTTGTCAACTAGATGTGTTCGCACTGCTTGTTCGCAGTTGTTGACAAGTCTGAACACATTGTTATCATCTTGTAACAAGGTTGATGAGCCCGAACAGACTCTCGTACTGTCGTAGCTTCAATGCATTCAAGTTTCTGGAACTCTGGGGAGAACAATACAGTTTAGAACTGCATAGTAGAGCAATACAGTCCAAATAAAATTAGTTTAGATTTCTGTAACCCTATACAGCAATGAAAGACAGCCTTACTAGACCTCTAGGTCCTAGTCAGACTAGGGAGAACAGTTTAGAACTGATAGAGCTATCTGGCAAAAACAAAGGCAAAGTTAATTTAGGTTTTCCCCTGTAGTAATCAGAAACAATAAACGATGACCTCCATAGGGAGAACAGAACGTTTAAAACTAAAAGTAATCATTCAGTGAGGTTCGTTGAGACCATATCAGAAATATCAAAACAACTTGCAACAAGTCAGACGGCAGTCCCCAAGCCTGTTACGAGATGACACCGAGTTGTAACAAACTTGTCAAAACATTCGCAGAGAACAAGCGGTGCGAACCTGTATGATATCAGCTTAATAACAAACTTGTAACAGCTTGCAACAATGTTATATATACAAATATTTTCACGTTTTTTATCTTATAATCAGTGTAAAAAGGACCGCATTTTCGAAAATATTTGGACTTAAAAATCAATGCCTCATTTGCAACTGAATAATCTAAAGTTTTTGTGGGTAGTGTTAAACAAAACCACAAAAATAAGCCAGCACGCCTATTGATATAGACAATAATAGCTTAAATCCGTCAAATTAGCAAAAACAGTACGTTTCTAAACTTTTGCTTCAAAATTGATGAGGATATTTAGTTGGCACTTAACATTGATCGATTGCATGCGTTCAATTAAAAGTTGACCATGTTATACAACAGCGCTAAAAACATGCACGTTTTAATATTATATATATTGCTAAATACCGACTAATACTAACATTAGCACATATATGTTAAGGTTGACACAAAGAATTAGCCATTATAATATGTGACGCCTTCCAGTATGCCTATAATAATTTATCATATGTCACTCATTGTCATATTATAGGGCAATAAGGGAATTTGCCTTTAAACAAGAGATCAAAATATACATGAATATCTCAGATTTTAAGGCGCTTGATTCAGAATATATACATTAACCAAGTTACTACAGCTTGTTTCGTCCAATGAAGGGATCTCTTAACGATTCCTTCATTGGATACAACCAGGGACGCCGGAACTGGGGGGGGGGGCAGGAGCGGCAGCCGCCCCCGTTGCCCTTTACCAGGAGGGGCAAGGTGGGCAAAGGTGCCCTTTCAATTTAAAGGATTGCCTTGGCGAAATAGCGAATTGTCAGAAATGTTAGTGCAATTCTTTTACGAATTTGCTTCAGAAAACGCAAGAAATGCAGTCATTGAGCTTCAAGAATAGCACAATCGCCTGGCGGAGAACCCCCTCACACCCCTATCATCCAATAAATAGAAAACATGATTAGGCAAAGTTCAACTCCCGCTGTTTTGCAAACATCTCTTAGTATATATCAATTCAAAAGTGCCCTTCCATGAAAATCTGCCCCCCTTGCCTTCACATCGTTCCGGCGTCCCTGGATACAACAGGCTGAAGTGCATGGCAACCGGCTTGTGGCAAGCAAAGCTAACAGCTATACTACTTGATCTATCTATATGATATCGAGCACTCTCTACCATTTCATAAACCAAAACACGCTCGTATTAGCCCAGCTATAGATAAAACGGACAATGAATCAGTAAATTGTGTGTGTTGTGCGGTCTTTGAGTCATATAGGGCATCCTTGCCGACTGAATAGTAGTTCTATAGTGAGTACGATAGGCACACGGTTTTATACGGTTCCAAAACATAATTCTAGCTTAATGGCTTACAAGTCATGAAGAAATTACAACACTTTTATTCGGTTTCTGACCGTATAATCGGTTGGTGTTGTATATATACTTTAAATAATATTTCCTTAAATTATTTTAATCACTTTCTAACATTTCATCTTAGAATAATTGTGCGTTACATTTTAGTCAGAATATCTTATGTTTGAGAGCATTTTTAACCTACACGCATGATCAAATTTAAGTCATGCAGTTTCTACTGAATACGCAATTTTGCGCACTTTTGCGCAGACTATAACATGCAGTTATTGTCTATATTTGTTATTTCATGCAGGAGAAAAACGGAGTGCCCGGGAGTAACTTGAAGGACTCCCCGCACATGCGACCGAGGCGATATTATAATAAAAAAAAATGCATATATTGCCGAAGAATCAATCTCTGATCACAGATATTAAAGGTTCGTGTACACTAACTGCTTTGCCACCAACGTCAAAATGTAGAAACAATATTTTAAAAGCCACTTAGCAGTAAAAGTCTTTTTGATATAACCGCGAGTTACAATATAAGCAGTGTGGCACGATGGCAATACATATCCAGAATTTCCCGGCAGTATTTCCAAAATTTTACTATTTCGAATACTCAATCATGTTTATGATGTACTGGCTGTCTCCTTACTTAAAATGATGGCCCTCAATTAACTTTGCTTTGATTGATCTTCGCAATGTCAAAATTAGCATACATGATTTTGAAATGGAATTTATATAAACCACACGGCCCTCCAAGACAAGCGTTAAGTCCGCAAAAATTGGATAAAACTCGCCACAAAGTTCCGAAACGAATTTTAAGAACTCCAGAATTAAGTAGCGTAGTAGAGATGGGAATTTAGTTATCCTATATAGGATTAAAAACACTGAGTATATATAAGTGACTTATAGATCGAAGTTCTGTCAGAAACTGCTTCGACGAAGAAATATTTATTTTAAAAAGCTTACTATTTAAGAGGAATGCATGCAAAACACATTTCAAACCAACGATTCATGAATCGCTAACCGCATTGAATCGTCGGTGTAACTTATCGCGATGAAATAGAGGATATTATTATCCTTATTTTTGTCCCGTTTAGGCATGAAATTTTCTCGTGTTCTTTGACTTTGCAGTATTAGATATATATGAAATATATTCCATATATTATAAGCGACAAGATCAATGGTTTAAAAACTTTGCAAATTATCACTATTGTTTTCAAATTTAAAAAAATTCTTATCTACCGCACATGGACATTAGGGATGAGGTGTACTACTTTCGGTTGTCAATTTGAACGACACGTTAAGCACATTAAAATTCATGTGATATTCACTAAACTAAATTGTGTTCTTCAAATTACTACTGCAGCTTAAAATTACTAACAAATTTTGCAGTAGAAAAAGCGAAAAATTGGAAATTTTTTTACTTCCCGATAAGAGATCGTTTAGATAATTTTTTAACCAAATTTCAGCCATATAGCGCATGTTTTCACTTGCGCGCAATTACCCTTCGAATTCAGTTATTCTTATATCGAAGCTCGATGCTACTAGAAAAAAGCGACCATGCAGTAGGTTTTTAAGAAACTATAGATTCTTTAATATCAACAGTCATAGCGTAAGCAAGTCGAAGAAAATATCAACTTCGAAAAAAATTACACTTGTCTTGTATCTCTTCATATCTTTTTTCCTCTTTGGTAAAATCTTAACATAACTTTGCACTTGAAAGCCTATCTATTCCATCCGCCTTGTTGCAAACTGCCAAAATCTCTCTGAGATTTACCTATTTTTTCCAAAATATACAACTGAAGCATGCATCGTTTTTCAGTTTGCGTAAACTGCCATTTCTTACTAAAATATATCTCTAAATTACAGCAAAGCCTTCAGTCAATTTTGAAAAACATGAGTTCTAAGATCATATACTAATTCTAAACCGCCTTAGTTTAAGAACAGTTCCAGATTAAACAGAAACGTTTTCTCCCCTTTTAGCTCAAAAGAGTCGTCTCAGTTTCGTTTTGCGCAAGCTGGCATTTCTTAAATGTATCCCCAAATTACACTGCTACAACAATATCCCAAATGAACCATTTCGCAAGTGAACAATTAACTACGCTTTTAAGAAACTTTGCAAAATCTCTTACCGGCGATTGTAGCTAAAGCAAGAAGAACAACGATTAATTTCATAGCCATTTCTGTTTCAAATTTGAGTTTTCTTATTTTTTCTCTTCACTCCTTCCTTCTCGAGCGAATATGGAAAAGTGATTGCCCGTTGGAACGGCGGCAGTTTTTAAACCTTTCGGCAACAATTAATAATATTCGCTTCTCCCCCATTGGGCAGAGCAGCTGGGATGTCAAAATTAAATAGCTTTAATTTTCGCAACAGCTTAATAGTACGAAATTTATATTACACCTTATATGCTAAGCTTAAAACCTTTCAACTTCGTTTGGCCCGCGATTGGGGGTAGAAAAAACAAAAATTTCGCTTGTAATTTCTAGGGTTTTATCGAATGTAGAAGCGCTTAAATAAAAATCTAGGGTAAAGTCGTTTTCCTAGAGGTCTAAATGATTACTTAGTAGTAAGCTTGATCCACAAACAATGAGATTTTATCGCGCCAGAAATGCTTGCCCGAGAAATTAGTTTGCATATTAAATTGATAAACAAAGTCGGATTAGACATACATTATGCATGAGTGTTCCGTGCGGGCGAATTTAATATCTACAGCGGCTCAAAAATCGCAAGCTTTTCAAAACCGAAGCTGGGCGGGCGGCTTCAATTTTATTGAAGCGTATATATAGGTATAATAAACATTTCTCATTAACAACTAACGGCTAGACACAATTAAAAGAGTTCAAAAATATTTTCCCATGGCATAAAAAATTTACTCTCATAGTACATATACACACTTCGCATTGCTTATCTCACAAAAATCTAAACAAAAATTTTTTGCCTCATTTGGAAAACAAAATGTCATCACTGATGCGTGTAATTTACCCTAGGAAGCTGGCGAGAGCAAATTTTAAGGAAATTTTAGGCAATTTAAATTGGTTCCTGTAAATATGTCCATGGCATAATTTCAAAACAGATTTTAGTCAAAAACTGGTAGTATGTTTGTATTATATTATTGCATTCAGTTTTTGCAACAGTAAAAAGGAACTCTAGCTCTTTCGCAAAATTAGAAAGTGAAAACCTGAATATCGGAACTTGCATTTTCATTAAACTATTTGGAATATTAACTACAGTGAGTTTTCTGTTAAAAACATCCGACAAATTGCTTCGGACAGGCAAAAATATACGAACCATCCACTAATTTGTTTAATAAAAGTCGGTACTAAAATGAGATTGTATATACACAGTATTTATACAAGGAAAATGAGGGATTATGACTACTAAGACTCACTTAAGTTTTTTATAACTACGATTTTCTGTCCATTATAAAAAGAGTGTTTTATTCATTTTTAATATCGTTAAGGACTATAAAGAGGCAAACTTTCGTGATGATAGTCTCGTGTTCTAAGCACATGTATAGTACAAAGTGAGAATGTGCAAATGTTGCGAAAATATAACAGTGTGGAATATTATACTTGAAGGGCCACCTGCTGGGCCAACTTTCGCAAGCAATAAATTCCAATTAACACTGCCTAAAGTCGAAAAGCTATATTGCTAACGCCCACTACTCTTTTATAACACTACTGACTTAGTAATTAACCCGTCTACCTAAAGCTTTTTGCGAAAATTATCGCTCTATTTAAGCGTATTTCGCCAGCAATTGTCGGCACGAAATAGTTTTCATGTTATATCGAAAGTTGCTTCGCTCAAAAGTTCGAATTCTGGAAACGTATACGAGTTATCAAATAGACATTGATTGATTTTGTCGAATCGGTTGGAAGTAAAATTTGACATAAAATTATAGTCGTCAAAATATATTACACTCAGCATATAGATTATAGGTTGTCGACAGAGTCAGAGACAGCACAATATATCAACAGATATGTCAATTGATATTAACCTAGAAGGACGTATTTAATAGCGATCTATCAAACTCATTTACTCTAGTTAAGGACAGCATATATTAACTTTGCTTTAAGTCTTAAATGTTTCAAAGTGAATTCCGATAACACTCATAGGCACTCGGAGGTAATATATCCGAAACCTATAAATTTCAATTTGATTGGGTCGGTTTCATTATAATCATAGGAGGGAAAAATTATTGCAACAAATTATTGCTGACGAATGCAAAGTAAATGAAAGGTTTTTATAGATGGCAAAAAGAAAACAATTTTTTCAATTTTTATTTTTATGATATGGTGCCTTATTTTTTATTAATATATGAACAACCTTTCGAAACTATATATAATAGTCTCATTTCCAAGTTACATGCAGTAAAATTATTGTTTCCGTTGACAAATAATTTAAAGTATGTTTATACAAACAATGTCAATGACAATGTATAATTGTAACTACTGTACTGAAAATGATAATATTATAGGACTCGACTCGAATTTATTGCGGGGCCTTTTTTCAAGAAATAATTGCTATAATATTTTGTCTCTAAATGTTTTTCGAATTTTTTTTTCAAATTTATAATTCCATGCAAAAGGTTCATCTTGACAACTATTTTTTTGCGTCGAGCAATTTTTTCAAGAAATAATTGGTGTTGTCTGACTGTTGATATCTTTTTCGTGTGTCTATAAATTCATTTCAAAACGTCTGTTAATTCAGATTTATATATCGACAAGGTTCATCTTTATAGCAACTAATTTTTTGCTTCGAGCCGGGTTTTTTCAAGAAATAATTAGTATTGATATCCTTAATTGTGTCTAAATCCAAGTTTCAAAATGTCTGTTCTAATTTATATTCGAAAAGACTCATTTTAGCAACTAAATTTTTATCATAAATATTGTACATGTAAATTATACAAAAGAGATGAATGTATAGTTATATTCATTTAAATGAGGTATATACGCTGTATAAGAAATTATATAGGCACCAAAACTATATAGCTACGTATTTATAAGAAATTAAGCACCTTAGTCCTAACATTAATACTAAATTGAATTTGAAATAAAAAATATGAAATAAGCAAATTAATGTGGAAGAATATAATGAAACTCAAGGATGAAAGAGATCTATAGAATAACAAAGAAATAAGCCGTAAAGAGAAGATATACCCTTTTGATTGAAAAGACACTAATTTCAATATCTCTGCATGGACTTTGGATAATTCGTTTAAAGGTTGAAAGTGATATTTAACTATAAGACTCTAGTGTTTCATATAGACTAAAAAGCAATCTTAAAGATGAAACGTATTCAAACAATACTTTTATTTATACATGCAGGATAGCCCTGCCAGACTTCACTTCTAAACCGTTCTTCCAAGAGGTCCAGGAATGAGTGCGAATTTTTCCAGGCTTAAGGCAATATTTGTGGTAATTTTTAACGCCAAATTACGGTTTTGGTGGTAGATGTCGACCCGTCCCTTGACACCGCTAATGACATGTTTGTTCAACATTTATCTGCACCATATGCTACCGACAAAAACGCCACATTCTTTCAATGACATAGTTTTGGAGACATTTGCCCTGAGGACTGAAATCTCTGCAATTGATATTGTTTTATTGATAATAGTATATTTATTCAGGAAAACCAACATCACCAGTTGTGTTTTCAAGAGGGTCAACCCAAATTTGGGATACCCAAATCCTGGGTATAGATACAAACATTAATTGAAGAAACTTTAATATATACACGTAAAAACATACAAGTTGTAACAAAACTGCACCAGATTTGTGTAGCAATGCTGTTCCAACAACTTGTCAACAGGATGTGTTCGCACTGCTTGTTCCCAGCTTGTTAACAAGTTGTCAACGGCTTGTTGACAACTTGCTACAAGGTTGCCGAGCTCAACAGACTTGTTGCAAGTTGTTCAAACAACTTCTTATCGTCCTGCAATTTAACAATTTGTCAACAAGTTGTGAGTGACAACCTTGTAGCAAATTGATAAAGTAACAGCATTGTTACAACTTGTTGACAAGCTTGCTACAAGCCTGTTGCGAACACATCTTGTGAGATTTAGACGACAAGTTTTGAGATGTTTACTTGTGTATGCTAACGAAATGTCCGCCTAGTTCATATATGACTTACACATGTAAAAAAGGAAAGTTGTTCCAAATCTGTTCACAAGCTGTCGACAAGTTGTGTTCGCACTGCTTGTTCCCAGTTGTTGTAACAAGTTTCGAACAAGCTGTTAACAGCTTGTAACAAGCTTGATGGCATTATCAGACTTGTTACAAGGTTGTTCAAACAAGTCTGATACAGTCATGACATAACAGGAATGTTACAAGGTTGACGACACAAGGTTGTAACAATATTGTTATATCATAACTGCATCAGACTTGTTGGAACAACCTTGCACCAAGTCTGATAATATCAACAAGGTTGTTACAAGTTGTTAACAGCTTGTACCAAACTTATTGACAACTTGGCGAGCACAACCTGTTGACGGCTTGCTGGCAGACTTGCTACAAGAAGTGAGATTTATACGCGTGTACGGTTCCATTGTAGACATGCATCAAAAGATCTGCTCTCAAAATGAATGATTAAATTTGCTACCCAACCCTTGCAGATTTTAGCCTGGTTCACATATGCCTGCGGTATGCCTGCGACTGTATCATTATGCCTCTACTTGCCGCCGAAATACCGGCAAAGTTGAGCTCAAGTCAACTTTCCCGGCCTACCGCCGATGTAACTGAGACACTGGAGGCAATCGGCGAACAAATGTTCACATAATTTACGTTTTAAAGCTACCACCGGTATCGTCGCCGGTACGTCGCAGGCATATATGTGAACCAGGCTTTTCATGAGCTGTGCATATTGAATAACATATGGATGGCGTTTACAAGCAACTAGGAAGACGGTTTATAGGCAGAACTGGGGGCGGAACGGGATGCTAGGGGGTATACCTCCTAAAATTGGAGTAGGGGGACTACGCCCATCACCCCTCCTAAAAACGTTCTGAGTGGGAAAATAAAAATTTGGAATTGGAAATAATGTACCCACAGTGAGTAAAAATTACTCAAATTTATTATATATTTTTGAGTAAAGTAAGATTTTTTGCAGTGTGCATTTTGCAAATGAATGAAGTAACATAGTTTGTACAAGTCAAATCGTCCCCCTAGAACGCAGGAAAAAGCATTTTTTCAGAGACTCCATATTTCAAAATTTTCTGGGTGAGCCTCTATATGTTTGTATAGCCCTCCTCCCCAACCAAACAAAACGTCCGCCACCTATGATAGTAG